ATATTTGTTGTGTTTGGGGGGGAAAACAGGATTTAAAAATGTCCTTTAAGTTGGATGTCAGTCCAAGTAAAATCTTTTACATAGTTTGATAATTGCTCACTGGCCATGACTGTGCTGATATGTTGCTGCTTAAGTTTTTCAAAAAATGTCTTCAGTAGCTCTTTGTAGTAAGTTGTAAAAGTTTTTGTGCTAAAAACCATGTGACAGAAGTAGGCTGTTGCAGAAGCCTTGAACAGACCAGGAGACCAGCAGTGGCCTTGCTCAGCTGAGCCTGTGCCTGACGCTCTTTGACTCTGCTGGCAAGTCTGACTTTTTGGGTCTGACTGCTCTTTCCTTCAGGCAGTACAGAGGGAATGAGGGACAGATGAGAGAACTGCAGGACCAGCTGGAAGCTGAGCAGTATTTTTCGGTGAGTACTCTGCCTCATGAACGTTGCTTCACTTTCGGGAAGTGGGCAAACTCCCAGGTTTTCCTAAAGATCCGCTTGTAAAGATAGCAGGAATGTGTGACCAGCAGCCGAAGTCTCCCGGCTCGCAGGGACCAGGCCGTCTGTGCTCTGTGGGCTCACCCTCCCATTGCGCCACCTGCTGGTCAGTCACCACTGTGTAGCTGTACAACCCCCCTGGAGGTGGGCTGCTTAGGCTTCCAGTCGGGGTGAACGCGACTCGGCCCTCTTTTCCTCCTGTGCAAAGGCGTGGTGTGCCTGTTAGCCTGTGTCAAAAAAGGAGTTCAGCAGAGTGCAACAAAAAGAACATTCATAACCGTGTGGTGGCTCTGTGGCTCAGGATCTGCGCCTGTGGCTGGAAGGTTGCCGGTTCAAATCCCGCGGCCGGCAGAGGAATCCCACTCCGTTGGGACCCTGAGCAAGGCCCTTCACCCCAACTGCTCCAGGGGCGCCGTATAAATGGCTGACTCTGCGCTCTGACCCCAAGCTTCTCTCTTCCCATCTGTGTGTCTCATGGAGAGCAAGCTGGGGAATGCGAAAAAAGACAAATTCCTAATGTAAGAAATTGTATAGGGCCAATAAAGTGATCTTATCTTATAAAACGGATACTGTGCTTGTTGTTGAGAGCTGCACAGCTAAATGAGGGGAGGTTTTTCAAGAAGCCTTTTATTTTGCAAAGTGTTTCCCCGCTTATCATGCCACAGTCACATTCTGCAGAGAGGTCACTGAATACCCAGTTTACTGCTCTTGTGGCAGACATCTGCAGCGCCTGACGTGAGTGTGGGTGCACTGTGCAGCGTGTTTACCTCTTTGGTCTCATGATCCTCAGGGATTCATGTCATACAACAGGACTTGGCACCCTCAGACTAGCAGTCAATTATAGATTATGCTGAAAATAGTTTGTGGACAGATGACTTTGCATCCCTTGGTCCAAAAGGCTCATGGTTGTTATTGTAATCAGTTATGCCACTTCCCAGAAGAGGAGTCTTGGGCCTTAAAGATGGCAGCCGGAGAGCTGCTTTAGGTCCTTGCGCAGCCTCTAGTGACTGCGGATCTCTTCACAGACACTATACAAGACTCAGGTCAAAGAGCTGAAGGAGGAGATCACGGAGAAGAACAGGCTCGTCCAGGACATGCAGAAGAAGGTGCAGGACATGAATGTTGAAAGGTAAACATTTTTTTTTAATTAAAGATGCATTTATTGTCGTGGTTTGCAATTGAGACACTGCGATCTAAAGGTGTCCGAGATGTTTTGCTTTTTAAGGTCACTTCTTACAGAGTTTTCCCCTGTTCTCTGTCCATTTTTGGTTGTGTCTGACTTCCTGTCTTGCTAGCTGAGCTGGGATAACGGCGGGGACAGGGTATCGGAGGGGTGGGGGAATGGGCGGAGAGGGGAGGGGGCAGGGAATGGGTGGGGTTGGGGGGGGGGGGGGATTGGGAGAGGCCACCGTCT